TGCGGGGGACTTCTGCCAGTGGCAGCTCCCAGCGTCCGAAGCTTGAAGATATACACAGAGACTCCCTAAACCCTAAACCCTAAACCCTAAACCCTGAACCCTATTTTAACCCTGAACCCTAACCCTACTTGAGGAATGCTGCTGAAATCATGTTAGCATCCTGATTGTGTATTAAGGAATATCTGACCAAGGCAGATAGAAGCCTCTAGTTGGCAATTGGCAGGGGTCTTGCCGAAGAAACTTACTGGATGTGTGTCACTAACCAAGATGTTGCCACATGAACCAGACCGCTTCACAGCTTGAGAACCAGAGGTGAATCTAGATTCTCCAAGCGCCCAGAGACTCCCATACCACCCTTTAACTAAGGAATATTCCTGCCGTGATATTTGGATCCAAAATTCCTAAATTAGTTCTTGCGAACATTCTCCTGCTGGCCACCGCAAATTTTAGGCTCTTTAGTACTCTTTAGTTACAGGATTGCAGACCAGAGCATGAGGAAAAGTCCTGCGTGCTGTGAAGTGTCTGCCTTGCCAGCCCATAGTCCCTCAACTGACGTTGTGAGGCCTGCGTATGCAAACGTAGGTTATCAGCCGTAGCTCTAGTGAGTGGAGCTATGGAGGCTGGTATGAGGCGCAGAAGAGCCGTTAGCTTGGGTCCGTCGGAGGCACGACCCAACCCGTTCTGGAGCGAGAGAGCGCAGGACACCTTTAGTTTACAGCGAGCAAGGCCAAGAGACCTTCCACAGTTAGAAACCGCTGAGGGGGGAGAACGGCCTGATCCTGGAACTGCAGAGGCTAGACCACGAGACCTACCACGGATAGCAGACGCGGAGGTTGTGGCAAGGCCAAGCGCAGAAGCAGTGATGGTAGCATCTGAGACGACCCGTGGTGCAGTGGGCATGGAAGATGGTCGCGACGCTCGAGCCGTGACTGGACTGCCTAGCACTGCAGCAGAGGAAGACCATGCAAGTTTGGGACAGGCCTCTGAACCACGTGCAGCTGTCCGCGAGGGCCAGCAGTCTCTGGAAGATGTGACGTTGCTGTTACAAAGGGCAGCCGAGATACCAATTTTGGATGAGTGGGCTTCAGAAGGAGGCAATACGAGCAGTGCAGCTCATGGTGAAAGTTCTGCAGATGGGACGCCTAGGGACACTGCACGTACGCCAGAGGAGCTCAGATGGTTGATCAAAGGTCTGTACGAGGGTATGCAGCGAACGTCCATTGATGTTCAAGCGTTGTCAGCGCAGATGGTGAGTCTTCAGGCACAGGTTGCAGATCAAGTCATCGACATGAAAGGCCATCTTCGAGGTGAGCTGGGTGGCTTGACTGACCGACTGGAGAGACTGGAGCGAAAATCATCTTCAGCTGGTTCTATGCACAGCGCCTTGGATCTGGCTGGAGTGGATCACCCAAGTGATTCTGGAGTGAGTCCGGGAACAAACGCTGGAAGCCTCAACCCTGCATCGTTCGGCGTTTTGAGTACGCAAGGCTCTGCCGCCGCTCGTAAGGGCTGGCAGAGTGAACAGCTAGGTACAGTCAGCAGTTCGCCGGATGTGCTCACTCTAGGTGTACAGACTGCGAGTGTAGCCTGTGAGATGTATCAGAGGGATTTGCCAAGGCCCCCAAAAGAACCCCCTAAACCTCAGGAGAGCAGCCAGGAAGGGGAAACCGGGACGAAGGGGCTGTTGGGGGTCATGCCGGTAAGGATGGGAGGAAGAGTTGTGTATGGAACGTGGAGCTCCACGGGTGAACTTGTCATTCTGGATCCACACGGGAACAGCCTAGATTCCCGTCCACCAACTCCGCCGCCTAGGCCGCCAACCAGCACGCCGCCGCCCACACCCCCAAAGTATCCGCCTTCTTTGGAAACGCCCGCCCCGAATCCGGTGCAGCGCGACGCGAGGGCATGCCCACATGAGCATGTTGAGAGTGACCGAAGTGGAGCGGCAGAGAGGCTTGAGAGTCATGTCGCAAGCAGTGTTGTGCATGATGTGCCTGTGCGTGCGCATGAGGGTGGAGCTGAAAGGTCTTGGGATCGTTTTGGTTTTGGGACTGGAGGTAGAGACCCGTTTGCGGTTGGAGATCGCGTGATGTGGGACTTACCGGTGCTAGGCCCGGTGAGTGAAGCCAACCCTGCTTTGAGAGCTTCGGATTGGTTGTACAAGATCAAGCCGCTGATGGCTGATTTGAGTTCAGGTTCCGCGTACTGGTGGGACAGTGTCGTTTCGGAGGCGCAGAATGCGTACGATCGATATGCGTCGTCCTCGTCGACTTTGCGTGGCTCGATCGTGGGGGAGCTGAAGGGCGAGTTGGGAGACCCAAGGTATACTAGACTCGAGGCACGAGCGCTTGCGATGCTTAGTAAGGCGGTCCCTGACAGTGTGTACCAACAGGCCCTCGCGAGTCGTTCGTTGACCACGGTAGGCTTATTGTTTCAGGTGTTGAAATCTTTTCAGCCTGGAGGACTTCTGGAGAGACAGTCTTTGCTGAGAGGGCTTGGTGAGTTGCCAGTCGCGGCGTCTGCGAAACAGGGAGTAGAAACCCTTCAAACGTGGTTTCGCTGGTTGGCGCGTGCGAGGTCCATGACAGAAGTGCAGATACCAGATTGTTCAATTTTGCTGGCTGCGTTGGACGTTTGTTCAAGCGACCTGTTGGAGAAGTACCCGCAGGTAGGTTTCAGATGCTCTGTGCATCGTCACGCTTATCGGTTAGATCACTGCCCTACGTTGTGCGCAGTAGAAGAGTATGGCAAAAGTCTTCTGGCGGAGTTCGAGGACTTGTCCATCAATGTCGAGGTTGAGCCCGAACGTCTTAAGCATGACCCCAAGGTGTCTAGGTTAGAATGTAGCACCGCGGCAGGGGAATACGGCGGCGACGAGTGGGCTGGGTATGGGAGTGTCGGAGCTTGCAGGGGATGGGTTCAGCACAGAGGTTGCAGGTTTGGGGCCCAGTGCAAGTTCAAGCATGATGTGGAGAAGTCTGCAGGTTCATGCAAGGTATGCGGCGCGGAAAACCACCCTTCGGGTAAATGTAGAAGGCCAGGTGGAGGTGCAGGTGAGGGCGCGTGGGCGGGGAGCTGGGCGGGGAGCTGGGAGGAGGTCGAAAGCCCCCAAAAGCCTCAGATCAACAAAACAGTGATCGAGGACATTCCCGTCAACGATACCCCTGGTAGAGGAACCCCAAGTGCCCCCACTCCTTCTGCTGTTGACGGTCTTGTTAGTGACGTGTCCAATCTGTTGAAAAGCATTCGTTTGGCTTCACTACATGTGTGTGACATGAGTGCAGGCCGTGCCATGTCCAGTCATGTTTCTTCAAGCGCAGAATCCTTTTTTGTTGGGGATTTGGTTGATGTTGTCACTGATGGCTACGACAACCTGTACGATGTTGATTGGTCCACCTTCGCTTTGGGAGAGCCCGTAAAACATGAAGCCCCAAGGCCCAGGTTGGGGGGAGCCAAGGAAGGACTAATGTCCACTGCCATTTGCAGCGCAAATGGGGGGGAGTCAGGAGACAAAAAATTGATGTTGGAAATGCCGCATGACAATCATGTTGAGCTTTGCTCTTTAAGCAAACACGTGAGCAGTTGCAGTTGCAGTTGTGTCGAGTTCATGCGCAGTGGCAATCCATGTTGTGATCGTAGGGACTGTGCACGCTTCAGCTACACTGGCTGCACGAACATGTCCTCCAAAACACATTCCGCTGGGGAGCATGAGGGCCCCGGAGGCCCTAGGAATCAAACGAGTGAGGCTCCACGAGGCCCGGAGAGGTTTTTGGGAAGCCCACGCTCAGGAGAAGGAGGCAATAAGGGCTGCATTCTGTCCTGCAGCAGCCCGTGAGGGCTTGCCGACGAAGGCTGGCAAATCCCTCCAACTCCGTGTTTGAAGAGCCTTGAGTCAACAACAGACTTGTTTAAGGACTGTAGTCCAAAACCTTTTGCTTCGAGAGCCGAGACAGTTTCGACAAGGCCGAAAGGGGGAGTGCGAACATTCTCCTGCTGGCCACCGCAAATTTTAGGCTCTTTAGTACTCTTTAGTTACAGGATTGCAGACCAGAGCATGAGGAAAAGTCCTGCGTGCTGTGAAGTGTCTGCCTTGCCAGCCCATAGTCCCTCAACTGACGTTGTGAGGCCTGCGTATGCAAACGTAGTTCTAATATCCCCGAACCGATTCAGGATATTGGGGGGTGTCAGGGCGCCCTTTCTGCAACCCCAAACCCCTACGTAAGCCTATAAGCTCCGAATCCGCCGAGGCCTCGGGCCGGAGGTGTAAAGGTTGTCAGAACAGGCACCCCCCTCCAAATCCTCCCCCCACACCCAAAGCCCTTTTTCGGACCCCTTTTTTTGGCCTCAAATGGGTACCCCTCCTGGGAAAGCGGGGTCCGCAAGCGGACGGTTCGCCAGGACCAGAGGCAGTTGAAGCCCCTCCCAGCAGCCCCGCCGCTGTTCCCCCCCGCCACCCCCCCCCCCCCACCCCGCCCAACCCCCGCCCCCCCCACCCTCCCCCACTCCCCCCACCCCCCACCCCCCCCCCCACCCTTCTCCTTAAACCTTAAAGGGCCTGGCTCAGCCCTACGATCACTCCAAGCCGAACCCTAAACCCAAAAAAACCCTCAACCCCAAAGCGTGAACCTTGAGCCCTAAACTAACCCTCAACCCCAAACCCCAAACCATAAACCATAAACCCGGAACCCTCAACCCTCAACCCTCAACCCTCAACCCTCAACCCTCAACCCTCAACCCAACCCTTATTGCTTGGGGTCCAGCGACTTGGGCGCTGCGGAATCACCATGCTCACGCGGATGCGCTGGGCCGGGCCGAGGCGGGTCGCGTAGCGTTAAAATTACCAGTAGATACTTGGGCATCCTCAATGAAAACCTCCGAAATCCGAAGCCGACCCCAAACCCCGAGACCACAACCCCAGCATCCTAACACACCCCAACCGCCCAAGTGCTCAGCGCTAAACCCTAAACCCTAAAACCTAAACCCTAAACCCCCCCTGTAGCCTGGTTGGAGGCCGGCCCTGCTCAACAAGCTCACGCCTCACGCAGCCCATGGGCTCGAATGTCCCCGAATTTGGGCTCAGAAGGTGTTCTTTCTTTGTTCTTTTGGGCCCAGAAGGTGTTCTTTGTTCTTTTAGTCCCAGAAAGTTTTCTTTTTGTTTATTCATTTTTTTATCTTTGTTTTTTTTTTTGGGGGGGGGGGGGGGTGGTTAGGGTTGCGGGTTTATAGGGTATAAGGGCTCCAATATCCCTTACGGAAGATTCCGCAAATTGTAGCCAAGATATGATTTCAGGAAGATTCCTCAGTTAAGGGGTTTCGGAGCCTCTGGGTTATGTCTACGTTACTAGCCGGGGGGGGGGGGGGGGCGGGCTGTGCTAGGCTATGCTGCAAGAGTTGTAGGATTTCGGGATTTTGCTTTTTGTTTGTTGGGATTAGGATTGGTGGTTTAGTTTAGGGCACTCGGGGTCAAACAACAGTTTAGATCTGGGAAGGGTTGCGTAGGCGAAGAACTTTTGACGCAAGGAGGTTGGCGTCCGAATTCGGCGTGTCAGTACTTGATCGTTCACGGGAGGCCAACTAGTTGCTGTTTATAATCCGACTTACAACCACCCCTAACCCTAAACCCTAAACCCTAAACCCTAAACCCTAAACCCTAAACCCTAAACCCTAAACCCTAAACCCTAAACCCTAAACCCTAAACCCTAGCCCTAAACCCTAAACCCTAAACCTAGAGCCTAAAGCCGCCTAAAGCCTAAATCCTGAACCTGCAACCCGGCAGCATTACATAAATGCTGCGGCCCCTTCGGCAGGACCTACTGGGAGGTTCAGGGTACTTATAGGCCAATTAATGTTTAGGGTTTAGGGTTTAGGGCCATAACCCACTTGTAAGCCCCTTAAGCACCCTAAGAGGGTTACAATTGGGCTATAAGTACAGTTCTAATTGGGTTACTAAGTACCATGAACCTCCAAGTACAAGCTCGAGCCAGCCTCCCCAAACTCTGAAACCCGAGACTCGGTAACCCCCCCCCCCCCTCTGAGGCATAAGGTCTGGTTCCCCCTATTCTTGATATTTCTAACCAGTGTAGCATACAGTAAATAAGGGGCATCGTGCCTCAACTGTCGGTATACTGTCCATTTGTCCAAACTGCATGGGATTTGATCTGAGTCATAGCTGTTTCAGGCACAGCTCGAATTCATAAGGAAAGTATTGCGATAGTGCCACCCAAAAATGACTAAGATGAAACTCCCAGCGCCCGAAACCCTACACCCTAAGCCCTAACTTTCATGCTGGAACCTCATACGGCAAAACCTATACTTTAGGTTCAGGGTTTAACCCCGAAGCCCATAAACCCTGATATCCCTCCAAAACAAAACTGGCTGGTTCTTGGTAGAGAATGAGGGAATGAGTACCACATATAATCCCTTAAGGGGTATACATAGGGCCCTAATTCCCTCATTCCCACTAAGAACCAGGGTTTTTTCTACAAGATAGTTCAATATCCCCATATGGCCCGTATGGTTTTCAATAACTGAAACAACACAGAAATCCAAAGGGTATGGGAATACTTATATATATATATATATATATATATATTCTACAGACAGATAGATAAACAATCGGTATATATAGATATACATACAATAATGTCTTACTTCGGTACAAGAGAAATATAAACACACACACACACACATATATGTATATATATATATGTATATATATATATATACACTATGTATATATGATATATACATATATATATACATATATATATATATATATATATATATATGTGAACTTCTGCATTTGGAGAACACAGATCGCAAATTCAGCCCAGAGGCTCTTCTTCTCGTGCGAGCATCGCAAACAGTGCGGCATAGGCGGGTCCAGCCTCCTCTGCATTTTAGGGTTTAGGGTGTAGGGTTTAGGGTTTAGGGTTTAGGGCTCTCCGAACTAGAGTTTTTGTCAAGCGGGGAGAGAGCTATACTCCCCTTAGAACCTTAAACCAAAAAATGTTTACTATTATTCTCTTGGGTTTTGTATAAACACAAAAAATGTATTCCCTAAGGGGCCTTTTGAAAGAGGGTGGAAGATTTGGGTTCTAGCTCAGGGTGGCCTATGCCGTCAAGATTGAAAAGCAAAAGCTCCACAGCCAGGTAACCCCTTTCGTCCAGTACCCTTGGGGAACTAAAGGTTAACCTTTGGGATTATAAGGGGATTCTAGCACCCCAAAAGGTTAAGCGTTAAATGCTCTACAACTAAGACCCTTGGCAACAAACCTGAAGTCCGAAAACCCAAGAGGAAAACTTACGAATGCCTGCACGCCCCCCCCCCCCCCCCCAAAAAAAAAAAAAAAAAAAAACAAAAAAACAATAATAATAATAAAAGAATAATAATAACAATAATAACAATAAAACCTAAACCCTAATTCCGCTTGAGGGTGTCGTGCTTTGGCCACTGGGGATGGGTGTACACCCTAAATCCCTTCACCGTGGCTCCTCCTCGGCATCCCAAGGCACTTCCTGTGTGGTCTATTTAGGGTTTGAGGGGCTTAGAGCGGCTTGTGGACGATTTAGGTGGGTTTAGGGTTTAGGGTTTAGGGTTTAGGGCTTGAGGGGCTTTGAGGTATGGGGTGTTGGGGTGTTGGGGTTTTTGCCGTTTGGCGATTTTTTTAGGCCATTAGGGCTGAGGGGTTTTGTGTTCCACGGGAAGGTTGGGCTTACTTTTCGGACGTAAGGGTGTTTGGGCTTGGGACTTCCCCGGTTCTCTAGCGTTTCGAGGGGGGGGGGGGGCTTGAAGGCCTTTTCATCTTCAAAGAGGAAAGAAGGTTAGACGTAATCAACCGCATGATCACTTAACATGGCTACGAGCCTGGCCAAAGGCTTCCTTATCTAGTATCCTCTGCTGAACTCGTATAGTGGAGGCCGTTTTGCTTTGGTGCTGCTGTGTTTCTAAAATCCTTCAAACCCAAGACACTCAACCCGATTTGGGAGCTTACGAAAATAGGGACCCCTAAAATAGACCCCCCCCCCCCCCCCACACAGTAGGATTCCCGTATAAAAACGACCCCAATAGGGTATCCCTAATTTCGGAGGCCCCCATTTCAGGAGACTTCAAGGAGGCTTGGTATCGAACCCTGGCTGACATACTTACAGACCCTTTAGGGTTTAGGGTTTAGGGTTTAGGGTTTAGGGTTTAGGGTTTAGGATAACAAAGCCACTGAGCAGGGCTTGGTTTGGAGCAGGTCTTCCAAACACCTGCGTTTTGCTACACCTCCAACGTCTTTTCCCAAGTGCTGAGACGAGGTTCGGGGTTGTGGGTTTTCGGGGTTAGGGCGACTTAAAAGCCGAAGGCTTTTGGTTTAGGACTTGTGGTTTAGGCAACCCTAAACCCTAAACCCTAAACCCTAAACCCTAAACCCTAAACCTTAAACCTTAAACCCTAAACCCTAAACCCTAAAGAGCCTAAGTCAGCAGCCGTCTCTATGCCACTCGATACGAAGTGCTCGAGACGACGATGGCCCAAACGAACCAACAGCGACTGAGGCCAGCGCGAAAAGAAGCGTCGTCTCGTCCTTCCAGTGCCTGTGGTTGAGGGTTTAGGGGCTTGGGTTTCGGGTATACCCCAAGGCTCCAAGAAAGCCTAAGGTAGGTACTATCTACAGACTTTCGACTCCGATGTAGGTACTATTTGTACTTGGAGCTCTAGGGTTCAGGGTTCGAGGTTGTAGCTTGAAGCCTGAGGTCACTCACGTCGACTGGTTGCTACAAGTCCACCTTTAACTTGAAACTTGGACCCCAATACCCTGCACTGTTACTGTTTAGCTCCTAGCAGGATGTGAAAGATGCGACATTTGCAACTACTCCGGAAACTTTGCGCTCGACTTAGTATGAAGGGCCCCTAAATTATGCGAGGTATACTCTAACCCATAAACCCTAACCCCTAGAACCCCCAAACCATATTGCGAAGTTTCGGGGGCAAGGGCACCCTGAAACCCTTGGCAATAAGCCTCCTAAGCATCCTCAGCTCTCTACTGCAAACCGTTTTGCCCCCTCAAGCTCCCCGAACGTCTGATCTCCTCAACCCCTAGCAAGCTCCCATAAGATGCCATGTGCATGTATGATATAATATATATATATATGTGTATATACACACACACACTTTAAACACTTTCAAGCCGTGCCTCTATGTATATACTGCAAAGGTTCACATGGGTCCTTCGGTAGCATGCTGAATCCTTCAGAACAATCTTCTGAACGCCTGAATCTCACATTACAAAGCTGCTGGGGAAACCGTAAGCCCCAGCTCGTCACTGCCCTAAACCTTAACCCAAAGGATCCATGTACCTGTATAGTATATACTTGGGCCCTAAAGCTACTATATAGGAACATCTTTAAGGCCCAAGTATATACTATATAGGTACATGGATCCTTTGGGTAACCAACCCATCCCCTCCCTGCTGTGGAGCCCCAAACCCTACGTCAAAACCCTCAACGCCAGGCGGCCTTGGCGCAAGATCCTTTGGGGCACCGGAGCCCTGGATCGCCTGACATGCTTTGAAGGTTAGGGGTTTGGGGTTTAGCGTTTTAAGTTTGGGTGCGACATAATACATGAACCCTAAAACCCTAATTCCCAAACCCAAAACCCAAAACCCTAACCCCCAAACCCCACAACCTACTACCCCCCATCCACCCCGTGTGTAAGCACGGGCCCTGAGTGAGTGTGAGCACGCCGCCTCCGGCAGCATCAAGTCGATCAAGGCCGCCTAGACAAGGCTGCCGTTCTGCTTCAAGAGGGTTGGGGTTTAGGGTTTAGGGTCTAGGGTCTAGGGTTTAGGGTTTAGGGTTAGGGTTTAGGGTTTAGAGTTTAGGGTTGAGGGTGTAGTTAGGGTTTAGGGCTCGGTTTAGAGCTTAGAGTTTGTGGTTACAGAGTATAGGGTTTAAGGGTGTGGGATCTACGTTCTCAATGCGTTGCATGGGAAAGTGACCACCGTGACTCTCCTCTTCGCCAAAAGTCCAGAGATCTGGAACTTCTGGGACCTCAAAATAGGCTTTCCCTGTAGGGTTCATGTACCTTCATCGTATATACCTGGGCCGCTTGGACCCTGAAGCTGCTATATGGGAACCTCTTTAAGGTACAGGTATATACTTTTTGTTTAGGTACACGGACCCCCACACCTTAAACCTTAACCCCTAAACCCTAAACCCTAAACCCTAAACCCTAAACCCTAAACCCGAAACCCTAAACCCTAGACCCTAAACCGACCCTCGAGGCTTCACTTCATCCCGTGCCCCTCGCCCCGAGGGGCGCCTCGTGCGGATTCTCCATGGCCTCGCTGGGGACAAAGCCGTAGCTGGCCAAGAGGGCCGCGCTGGAAAGTTCGCTGTAGAGGTGCGTGAGTTCATCTCCTTCCGGGCCAAAACAAGGGCTTTGGGGTTTAGGGCTTCAAGAAACCGCACCCCTAACCCCTCAACCCTTCAATAAGAAGACCTAGCCTGTCAACTAAATCCTAAAATGCCCACAGCTCCAACTCAAACAGCAAAATGCCTTCCAGCAAGCGTCAAACCCGAATCCCGCCTTTAAAGCCCTGAACCCCCTAACCCCGAAATGGTAAACAACATCTTTGGGTTTGAGGTCTCTAGGGCTTTGGGGTTCCTAAACTCCTAAACCCTAAACCCTAAACCCTCAACGTGTCCTGGCTGGATGAGGCTCACAGCCTCCAGCTTCGCGCCAGAGTCTACGTCACCCAGGAACCTGGCCACGTAAGACGGCGCCTTAGGGTTTAGGGTTTAGGGTTTATGGTTTAGGGTTTAGGGTTTCGGCCATGTACCATGTTGATAGATACTCTGGCCCCAGAGTCCCTGTATAGGAAGCACTTTAAGGCCCAAGCACTCCCCATTCTGGGCAAATCAGTAGGGGCTCTTATGAGTGATATAATGCGGCAGGACGAAAGTTCGACTCAGTCGCTTCAGCCGCCATGGAAGCCCTTACAAGCCTGGCAATCCCCCCTTAGACTCCTAACACCCTAAGGGTCCATGTACCTAAATAGGGAATACTTGGGCCTTAAAGTACTTCCTATATAGGGACTTTGGGGCCCAAGTATATACTAATAAGGTACATGGACCCATCGGGACACCCTGACACCCAGATCGCAGACTCTGCCGTAGCTTATAGTAGTATAAACGTGAACGGCGCATAAATTATCTGCCAAGCATCCAGGTGAGTCGAAACTTTAAACTGCTTGCGATGTATGGGTTACATGGGTTCTAGGGTGATAAGGGGTAAAAAGCCCAGCCGGGGGAGCCGGCAGTTCCAACAGGCTGGCCCCGAAGGCACCGGCACGAAGGTGTTGAGAATGTCCTCGGCCGAACAGAAGCTGTTAAGGGCTCGGGGCTTAAGGGCTTAGGGTTTAGGGTTTAGGGTTCAGGATTTAGGGGATTTAGGTCTCTCTACCTGGGGGTTCAAGGGGCTTCTGCCGCAGCCCCTTCGTCTTCCTAAACCTTGCCTACAGATATGAGACATTCGATGTGCCTTTATACCAGCTACCAATAACGCTGAAAGGGTTGGCAGCTCCCTTTTTCCGTTGCAAAACCTAAGCCCAAAATCAATTGAATTGCAGGAGAGTCAGTTGTAGCAGCTTGTGAACGACTTTGAACATTCATCAATACTTAAGATGCTTACTTGTAAGGCAACCTAGACGAGAAAAAAGGGAATAGGGGCCACTCCGGGTCCTAGATGAAAGGTGATATCTAAACCCTGGGACGCAAAGAGCCGATAGGTGAGTTCAGGTGATGTGATTGTTTGAACTCCAGCACCTCCATTAAGGAAGGAATCCAGAACCTTAAGCCGTAAGCCGTAAGCCCTATAACCGCTAAACCCTAAACACCAAACCCTATACCCTAAACCCTGAACCTTGAACCTTGAACCCTAAACCCTAAATAGCCTAAACCCTAAACCCTAAACCCTAAACCCCAAACCCTATACTGAAGGCAGGAGGCGATGAGTGGCACCAAAGCACGCGTTGCACCTGCTGCACCAGCTCGGAGGTTGAAGGACCTCTTCTTTTTTTGTTTGGGGGGATTTGGGTTTAGGGTTTAGGGTTTAGGGTTCAGGGTTCAGGGTTCAGGGTTTACGGTTTGGCGGGGGGGGGGGGGGGGGGGGGGGGGGGCAGGAGGCATCGAACCTGAGGTTACCCACCTAACGCAGCCTAGATCCTGAATTGTTAAAGGGCGCAGTATCGCTGTAGTGGGTAGAGGTACCCTCTTCAGAGGCTGCAGAAGTTCATGCTTAGGGTTTAGGGTTTTCATGAATGGACCAAGTATCACGCACCAATCAAGCTCTGAAAGGGTGTTGTAAAGACGCTACCTTGCAGAAACAAAATCAGTCTACAGAGGTCCCATGAGAGGGGCCATATTTACCCTGTGAACCCTAAACCCTGAACCCGAAACACCTCAAACCCTGAACCCAAAACCCTAAGCCCCAAACCCCAAACCCTAAACCCCTGAAAATGTTCTCCAGAAGGCCTTGAATCCACCACCGTCAGCGCCCACAGGACCTGGCCGCCGGACGCAGGGTTTGGGGTTGTGTTTATCGGGGTTTAGGGCCCCTAAACCCTAAACCCTAAACCCTAAACCCTAAACCCTAAACCCTAAACCCTAAACCCTAAACCCTAAACCCTAAACCCTAAACCAAAACGCTGCACTCTGGGGCCCAGAGCGGGCCGATGGTGCCTTCTTCTTACGGGCTTCGTTTCTTACCCTAAGGGTCCATCTACCAAATTAGGGTTTAGAGTTTAGAGTTTAGAGTTTAGGGTTTAGGGTTTAGGGTTTAGGGTCCATCTACCAAATTAGGGAATACTTGGGCCTTAAAGTACTTCCTATTTAGGGACTTTGGGGCCCAAGTATATAATACTAAGGTACATGGACCCTTAGGGTTCTTGTACATGGTTTTGGGTTTCTCTCCCCTTCCCGCCCACGCTGCCTCGCGCACGGATGGTCCGGCGGTGGCCAGGCGGGCGGCGAGGGCCAGGCCACTCGACAGCCGCCCCTTTGGGTCCCGAATTCAGGCTTCAGGCTGTTTCCTAGACCCTAAACCCTAAATACTAAACCCTAAACCCTAACCCCTGAACCCTATAAAGCATAAACCCTAATCCCTCAACCCTATACCCTAAACGCTTTTGGGTTTGGGGCCTTTGGAATTTGGGCCATCAGGCTTTGCAGAGTGTTGGGTTTGCCAATGAGTGGCGTTGGAGCAAGGAGGCGTCGTCGGCTCTAGGGTTTCGGGTTTGGATTCGTGATGTGTTCAAGCCCCTACCTTCCCCCTAGTATCTCAGATTTTGGTGTAAGAAAAGGTACAAACCGCCTCGCACTGCGGGCCGTGTTGTGTTGTAAGAGGTTTAGGGCAATTGCACTTCCCCCAGGTGCCGACCATTGATTGAGTGTTGGGATTCAGGATGTTATAGCCCTGGAAAAAAGCGTTTAAGGCAACCCTAAACCCTGAACCCTAAACTCAGAGTAGGATTTAGGGTTGCGGGAAAAGGTCTCGGAAACCCTTGCCGAGCGCCTTGCGGACACAGCGCTGCAGCCGCCCAGGCTGCCGCCCATCAACTCGGCGACGTACCTGCTCAGTTTAGGGTTTAGGGTTTAGGGTCCAGGGTGTAGGTCTCCAGCTTTATGATGGGTCATACCTACCATTACTAGCTAGGCGTAATTACTACCAAACTGCAGCTGAATATGAGTCCCAGGTCGAGCCTCTGCAAGAAGGGGGCAAGGAGGCCGAAAGTTTTTTGCCTCTTCCCTCCAGGAAGGGAAAGGAGGTGGGAAGAGGAAGATTGGGGTTTAGGGTTTAGGGTTTAGGGTTTAGGGTTTAGGGTTTAGGGTTTAGGGTGCAAGGAGTAGGCCCCCTAGGAAACCCGAGTCCCATGGCGTGTCCCACACAGAACTCCTGCTCGTCCCGGAAGCTATCACGAAACCCACATGAAAAAGGGCCAAACCCCGTTAAGACCCCCAAGTGCTTCAAAAAATGCCCCAAGGTCAGAAACATTCACTCCGCGCACGTTCCCTGCTTCAGGGCTTAAAATCCCTAAGCCCTAAACTCTGAAACCCTAAACCTAAACTAGTGTTGCAGCCTTGTGCGTTAGGAAGGGGGCTACAGTATACCAATAATTTGGGTACACTTCCCCGTGATTAGGGGAATAAAGGTTGCTCCGGGCAGACAACACCCTAAACCCCTAAATCCTAAACCCTAAACCCTGGACCCTCAACCCTAGACCCTAAACCCTAAACCCTAAACCCTAAACCCTAGGCCCTAAACCCTAAACCCTAAACCCTAAACCCTAAACCCTCAACCCTCAACCCTAAACCCTAAACCCTAAACCCTAAACCCTAAACCCTGAACCCTACACAGTCACAGGGTTGGAGGGGGCACTCTTCACCTTGCAGCTCCGGCGGCCAGGCGAGAGGGTGGAGCACCGCAAGGCCCTTCCGGTGGTGAAAAAAACGGTGCAGAAAGGGATACGTTTTTGGTGTTGGGGTCCTTTCTTTTATAAGGGATATTTGGTGTTTATCTCGGGGTTACTTACCCTAAGGGTCCATGTACCAAATTAGGGAATACTTGGGTCTTAAAGTACTTCCTATTTAGGGACTTTGGGGCCCAAGTAAAAAATATGGTACATGGACCCTTAGGGTTAGATATGTAGGGACTGTAAAAGGTATATGTAGGTGGTTTTAGAAAAGAACAGGGAACCCAAGAAGAAGTGTGGGGTTCCTTTGATGGAGGAGCAAAGAACCCCCAGGAGGTCCGTCAACCCTACATCCAGAGAGGGTGCAAAATGTGCGTTTGTGCAGTGAACCCTAAACCAAGACGGAACTGCCCTCATGCGAAAGCAGGGCAGCCTCTCTTTCTGGTAGCGACTGGAGGTAGGGTGAAAACCTCGGCGCTGTCAGGAATTGGGGCGTAGGGGCTTCCCCTAAACCCTAAACCCTGATGTTCAGGGTTTCGGGTGTTTAAGGTTCAGGGCGTTTAGGGTTCGTTTAGGGTTTAGGGCTTAGGGTTTATGGCCACAACCGACTGTAATAAGACCTTCGAGACCGGAAAGATCTTGAACCAAAGTCCTCGGTGTTTGGGGGAAACCTCGTCTAGTTAGGGTTTAGGGTTTAGGGCTTCGGGTTTAGCGTTTAGGACACAGGAAGGAGGGCCCTGGAATTAGAGGGCTTACAGGGTTGATGGATTTATGGTGTTGATAACCCTAAATTGTAAACCCTGAACCCTACACCCAGGCTTGCAGTGCTTGTATCGTTTGCAGGCTTTATCAGGTCTGGGTTTCCTGGTCGCACTATAAAGATGGTAAATCCTTTTTCTGGGGCCGTGTACAAGATTTCAAGTTGGCGAGCAGCAGACGGAAGCACGGGCGAAATCTGAAAAAGGATGTCAGGAACTTGAGCGGCGGCGATGAGAATCTTATAGGAACAGCAGTTTGGGGATTGCACCTTGACATTAGCAACCTAACATGCTGAAATATGCCCTTGCTGTAGGTAAAGGGCTTCGGGCTTAGGGCTGCTGTGTCACATGACCTTCACAATCCCCGTCCCGCACCCGACGACATATTAAGCTAAAGCAAGTTAAAGTCCCCCCGAAACCATAAACCCTAGCCCTAAACCCGAGCCCTACACCCTAAATCTTTGGTTGTAACACCCAGATCCCAAAAAAGGTCAAAGGCTTTAGCCGAGGGGCGTCGAGCCATCGCCAGCAGCAAGCTCCGCCCTCAGTCGGGTTGGGGCGGGCAGGGGGGAAGGTTTAGGGTTTAGGGTTTAGGGTTTAGGGATTAGGGTTTAGGGATTAGGGTTTAGGGTTGAGGGTTTAGGGTTTAGGGTTTTGGGTCTAGGGTGTAGGGTTTTAGGG